CAACACTTGACTAATCTGACGTCAAAAACTATAGACCTTTATCCCTTCTTTCTTTTCTTTCCAAAACACTTGAGGGTGCTGTCTCTGAACAACTTATCTCTCTGATCTCATTATCTCTCTCATATCGATCTTCTTGACCCTAACCAGTCAGGCTTCAAGACAGGTCACTCAACCAAGACGGCTCTCCGCACTGCCAAAGCTGACTCTCTCTTCTCTGTTCTCATCCTCCTAGATCTATCCGCTGCCTTTGACACCATGAACCATCAGATCCTCCTCTCCACCCTCTCAGGGCTTGGCGTCTCAGGCTCTGCACACTCTTGGACTGCATTCTACCTGGCAGGCCACTCCTACCAGGTGACGTTGAGAGGATCTGTGTCTGCACCATGTATTCTCACTACTGGTGTCCCCCAGGGCTCGGTTCTAGGCTCTCTCCTCTTCTCTCTATACACCAAGTCACTCAGCTCTGTCATATACTCACATGGTCTTGCCTATCATTGCTATGCAGATGGCACTCAACTACTTTTCTCCTTCCCCCCTTCTGACACCCAGGTGCGACATGCATCTCTGCGTGCCGGCAGATATCTCAACTTGGACGTTGGCCCACCACCTCAAGCTCAACAAGACGGAGCTGCTCTTCCTCCCGGGGAAGGCCTGCCCGCTCAAAGACCTCTCCATCATGGTTGACAACTCCACTGTGTCGCCCTCCGAGAGTACAAAGAACCTTGGCGTGACCCTGGACAACACCTTTGATTCTCCACAAACATCAAAGCAGTGACTCGCTCCTGCAGGTTCATGCTCTACAACATCTGTAGAGTATGACCCTAACTCACACAGGAAGCGGCACAGGTCCTAATCCAGGCACTTGTCCTCTCCTGTCTGGACTACTGCAACTCGCTATTGGCTGGGCTCCCCTCTTGTGCCATCAAACCCCTGCAACTTATCCAGAACGCTGCAGCGCTCTTATCCACTACAAGACCATGGTACTTACCTACGTAACAGCAAGAGGGACTGCCCCTCCCTACCTTCAGGCTATGCTCAAACCCTATACCCCAACCCGAGCACTCCGTTCTGCCACCTCAGGTCTCTTGACCCACCCACCACTACGGGAGGGCAGCTCCCGCTCAGCCCTGTCCAAGCTCTTCTCTGTCCTGGCACCCCAATGGTGGAACCAGCTTACCCCTGAAGCTAGGACAGCAGAGTCGCTTGCCCATCTTCCGAAAAAACATCAAAAACCCTACCTCTTCAAACAGTATCTTAAATAATCCTCCTCCTCACCTTTACTGATAGCTACTTTATTGAGGAAGAATGTACTTTCTATGCCTGTGATATGTGGTTGTCCCACCTAGCTATTTCACGATGAATGCACTAACTGTAAGTTGTTTTGGATAAGAGCGTCTGCTAAATGACTAACATTTTTAAAAACCGGACAGGCCAGAATAATGGTTATATGACTGGACAGACCAGAATAATAGAGAGAGGAGAGGACAGGCCAGATGAAAGGCAGGTAGTTTGCCATGTTACTCCATTTATCCATTTATGTCCCATCTTAACTGACACAGAGTACACAGGTGTGAGATGAGAGAGGAAGATATTACAGGTGACACATAACACATACACACACAAACAACCACACACACACACACACACACACACACACACACACACACACACACACACACACACAGATATGGCCTCTCCACAGCCCTCCACTACACTATCAAACAGCAACTGCATAATGAGATAAAAACCAATTAATCACAGCTAATCAGTTAATTGATACGACATCCAATCACACTGCTAATTGATTGCAAAACGAGATTAAGTGGTTAGGCCATTAATAGATCAGGTAGACAGAGAATCAACAGCCCCTTAGGAGTTAGGACCTAATGAAGGCTTTGAATTAAAAACATGAAAGAGTGAGTGTGTGTGTGACTGTGTGAGTGTGTGTGTGTGTGTGAGATTGTGTGTGTGTGACTGTGTGAGTGTGTGAGTGTGTGATTGTGTGTGTGTGCTCACTCTGGTAGTGTAGCTGGAACATGCCCATGCTCCCCTCAGGTGAGGAGCGGTAGTATACTGAGATGGTATTGGTCGGACTTCGGATCACCTGACCCTCCACCAGCAGTGTGTGATTGGCCAGAACCAGCAAGGCCCCGCCCTCATCCACCCCTCTGATTGACAGCTGCTCTCCCTCTGACAGATTCACACTCTTCACCTGAGAGAGAGAGAGATTATTTCACTTTTGTTTACTATCTACTTCACTTGCTTTGGCAATGTTAACATACGTTTCCCATGCCAATAAAGCCCTTAAATTGAAACTGAAATTGAATTGAGAGAGAGAGAGAGAGAGAGATGTAGAGAGAGAGCACGAGAGAGAGACAAGAGCGTCGGAGGAGAGGAATGACTCGATTGGGGAGCACCGTGAGGAGAGGAGGGGGAGAGAGATGAGGAGGAGTTGAGAGAGAGAGAGGGCAGAGAGGAGGACGTAGGGAGAGACGAATCAGGAGAGAGAGAGGGAAAGATGGCGATGAGAGGAGAAGGAGAGAGGGGGAGAAGGAGGGAGGGAGAGGAGAGAGAGGAGGAGAGAGGAGATAGGGGGAACGGGGAAAAAAGGGAGGGGCAAGACGTGGTGAGAATTCTCAGAAACCACATTAAAGATACTGTTAATGGCACTGCACATCTCTTCTGAGATCTCTTCTTAGAGCTTGACTCCAATAAAGAGGACCTGGAACAGCACCAGTGTTGTGTGGAGGACAGGCTGAAAAATTGCACTCTCACTAGACTTTATATACACATCATATACACACTCACTCACACACACTACACTGTCACTCCCACACAAATCCCTCACACATTCAAACACTACACACATACCGACACAACACAAACAAACATACATACACACACACACACTTTTACACTTCATCATTTGCTGTTGGTACTCTGTTCTTTATTTTACTCTTATTATTATCTATCTGGATTCCTAGTCACTTTGCCCTGCCTTCATGTACATATCTACCTCAAGTATCGCGGCACATTGATCTGGTACTGGTACTCCCTGTATATAGCTCTATTCTTGTGCATTTTATTTTATTCCTCTTGTGTTAGTTACTATTTATTTATTTCTTATTATTTATTTATTTTACTCTGTATCGTTGGGAAAGGTTCGTAAGCAAGCATTTCACTGTAAAGTATACACCAGTTTAATTCGGCGCATGTGATAAATACAATTTGCTTTGATTTGATTTGGAGTGCAGGGTGCTGTACCAGTAGACATCACTAGGGGTCAGAGACAATCCTGAGATCATTACAGAGTCAACAATCACAACGCAGTGTGTGCGTGTGTCTGTGTCATTGAGTACGTTAACATGCACACTAATAATTCGATATTAAACTACATTTTGGCAGTAGGCAGATTATGCAATAGTCATGTAAACACCTTACTCTGCTTATCTGAATTGGCGTAAGGTCAAAATCGAAAGTAAGCATACGTCAATTAAAACACCTGGTTTTCTGAGCAATCTTTCAAATTTTTAGGAAATGTAAACACCTTAATCGGCGTTCCAGCGGTGTATTTGATCTGCGCATGTGCTAAAAGCAGCTGAGCCTCCATATTTAGGGCGAGTGAAGTGAGTTCGGAACAACAATGTACGCGTCTTAGAAGTAGTTTTCACATACAAACTTTATATGTCCGAACTCAGAATCAAATATACTTTCCAAAAATAACGTTCGCTGTGGTGGAACGTTTAATTTTAAACAGGATAATTAGAGAATACGTTCTTCTTGCAAAGCATGTAAACGTTTTAATCGAACTATTATTTTAATCTGATTATGCACAAAATGGCATTATTGTGTGTATGTAACCTCACTCAGTGAAAACGCGTGTCTGTCAGTGCACGCGAATGTGTGTGTTTGTTTACCTGTAACTCGACTCCAAAGCCTGTGTACACAGTGACGGTGTATGTACAGTGTAGGAATGTTCCATCTGGGAGAGGGGGGTCGTCGGAAGAGTCTATGTATCCCTCGGGGTCGGAGAAATTCACCATACAGCCAGACACAGCTAGAGATAAGAGGAGAGGAGGGGACAAACATTGATTTAACAATACAATATTTAAGAAGCAATTTATTTCAAAGTGTAATCCAGGATGCTGGTGAGATAAGCACATCTCTGTCTTCAGTGAGGGAAAGGTAAACAAGGTCAACAACTGCTTTCTGTAAAAGGACAGGGTGTTCTCTAACATTGTTGATGCTCTAGTCTTGTCTAATGCAGGGGTTGGAACCGGTTCAGGGAACAGAACCGAAAACCAGAAAATAATGACATTTTTCAAGGAACAGAATCATAACCGGGAACGAAAGTGATCTATACTGTTCTGGAACAGAACCGTTATTTTAAAAGCATGGGAACCGGTTTTTTATGTTCCGGGTATATTTCTCAGTCCCACAAAAAACGTAACAAAGCGCCTATGCAAAGTCCTCCCTCTGTCAATCAGAAACTTCTTCCAGTGTCTGCCTGCCAGCTGAAAATCTTTTCCAGTGTGTGTCCGTGAGTAGGCTACCTGCCGCTACCACACCTACTGATGATAGCTACAAGCGTGATTCGGAAGATAGGGAGAGAGATTTTTTAGAAAATAATGGATTTACTTTTTCAATGCTAGTTATGGATACTATAGTTATCACATTTCACATTGGATTCATTAAATACGAAAAGGTAAGACGTGTTTTTAATTCTGGTGCGCGCTCAAGTTTGTTAGCTAGCTAGCTAGCTTTGGTCCAACGTTAAGCCAACTCTCTGAAGTTCAAAGACATTCAAAGTTCCTCCGTAGGTATAATTGTATAGGCCTAATTCAGATAATGCATATCACAAGATGCCCAAGATGCACTTCACCCTCTCTCCCCACCCGCAAAATGTTAAGTTGCATCTCGCGCCCTACACTCAAGCACGTAAACAACTTTAGGATAGAAAACTGCTCTATCCGCACTGATTGGTGAAGTAATTTAATGTTGAGCTAAATGTAAAGAAAATGAACAGAAAGGAACGATATAAACCTAAACCTTTTTTTGGTGGAACCAGTTAGGAACTTTATTTTGCTGGTCAGAACAAAAAAATAATGGTTCTGTTCAGAACGAAAAGATTGGAAAATAATTTAGGTTCCAACCCCTGGTCTAATGTATACCACTTATACCTGGTGAAGGTGTGTCTGCATCCATGTCTGTGTCTGCGTCCACGGTCGCCGTGACGATAGTGGTGACCTCATCTCGCTGTCCCGGCGGTGTGTGTGTCCCGGGCTGAGAGGAGGAGGGGAGGGGGTTGCTGTTGGGCTGGGTGGGCTGTGAAGGGAGAGGGGGTCCGCTGTCGTGGGGCTGTGAAACTGGGGGTCGTATCCTCTTCAACAGACCCTGTTGATCCAGAGACAGACCTCCAGACAGGCCCCCTGTGCTCATTCCTCTCCCCAGGAGAGGCAGCAGGTCCTGGGGCAGAGCTGAGGGCAGGACCATACCCCCTGTCTGGGAGAGGAGATGATCCTTCTGGGCCAGGACAGACTCTAGCAGATCACCAGCGGCACTCATCCCCACCCCGGGCCCTAACCCAGCCTCGGGCCCTCTCCCCCTGGGATAGTTTCTGTCTGTGTTCCCTATGGCTGGAGAGGGGGAGGAGGGTGGAGGTGTGGGGTCCATCTCGGCTAGAGAAACACACAGAGAGAGAGAGAGAGAGAGAGAGAGAAAGAGAGAACAAAAGAGAGAAAGAGAATGAGACTCAGGTAACATTTTCCAGGGGTCATACAGTCTTGACACTAGCGCTGCTTTTAGTTCTGAGAATAATTGTATTCTTATTCTCATTCTGTTAGGTCTGGGTTTCCCAAACTTGGTCCTGAGGCCCCCCTGGGTGCACGTTTTGGTTTCTGCCCTAGTACTACCACTACTGATTCAAATATCAATATCCTGGGAAACCCTGTGTTAGGGCTATCCTTTACCAGGTTGTGTTTCCAGGGAGAAATGCAAACTAGGACTGAGTAACTGAAGGGCCTGCTGTGCACCCTTGAGCTGGAGCAGAGAGAGAGACAGCTCCGAACACCCAGAAAGCCTTTCTTCTCTTTGTGTGGTGTGGCTGTGTTAGGACCTGTTTTAGCCTGGTAAACAGAGAGAAGCAGAAACCAGCAGGACTGAGGAACTCAAGGGACAGCTCCTGAAAACCTTTCTGCCCTGCATGTGTAGTGACACTGTGTCTAGTGAGTGTGGCTGTGTTAGGGCCTCACTGGAGCAGGAATACTGTTCTGTTCTACTGTCTGTTCTACTGTCTGTTCTACTGTTATCAGGACTACAGTCTGTTCCACTGTCTGTTCTGTCAGTTCCACTGTATGTTCCATTGTCTGTTCTACTGTCTGTTCCACTGTTATCAGGACTACTGTCTGTTCAACTGTTTCAGGACTACTGGGCTTATCTGGCATCAGGGCGACCAGCCCAGCACAATACACCTGCTCTCTACTGCACACACACACACACAGAGAGTACGCACACACAAGCATGTACCACATGCACACACGCACATACACACACACTCACATAGGCAGATCACGGACTCTCTGGGTGAGGAGAGACAGGGTAGCCAGTCAAGCATGACGGGACGGGATGGGGGGGGAAGCATAGACAGGCACACTGCTCCCACGCATGCTAAAATGCCATGTCCAACAGCTCAGCACTAAAAAGGACAGAACAGCGCACACACACACACACACACACACACACACACACAGTCAGACCCTTCATGGCCAGTGTATCACTGTGTTGCTGCCCCTCCATACTAACAATACTATTGGATCACATAACACCTGTTCTCAGAACATTCTGCTTTTTAAAATCACACATCCTCACACTGACAAAAACAGCTTTTAACTTTAAAGCGGCAATCAGCAGTAGACACAAGAACAAAGCAGACTCCCCGCCCCTGGTTCGGTAAAAAGCTGAGGGATGGAGCTGGAGAAATGGAACCACTCTTGAATTCATAGACAGAGCTATGGATGCAATGCCTGACCATCAATGATATGAAAATGATAGTTTTAACCATGTTTTGGGACTATATAGTGTTTGATTATATTTTCTTTGTTTACAAACGTTGGAGTAAAACAAGCTTACATTTTGGGTTCTGATGGGGTACTAAGATGGGAAACTACGCTCATGAGGCATTAATAAGTTATATTCTTCAAGAATCAATGGGTACATAACATACATTTTTAAGTCCAAAAATGTATGTAGCAACTGCTGATTGCCCCTTTAATAGTGTCTGTTGTGGCTGCAGAGAGTGTCAACTCCATCCATCAAACCTTCATCAGCCACCAACTCAAACACATGCCTGGCTGATTTCCTCTTTACAGATAAACAGGAGGAGATGTGGAAGACACACAACAACAGGTGTGCCTGATCTGGTACAAATATATTTTTTATTCCTTGTTGGTTGAACACTAAATGCTTTTGTACATTACATTTCATTTCCTCAGCTGAGCTCTGTGTATTGTATAGGAGTAAATCCATTGGGGGAGTTATATTGTAAATGTGTGACTATAGTGTACACTGAGTACATTTACTTTGTCTCTCTCTACCCATCACATATGCTAGTCTAGAAGTGGGTCAGACCGAACCACCACCATCTGGATCCAAAGCCTCAGCACAGGAACACCTTGCTTCGTCTCGAAACGAGCCATTGTTTACAGACGGCACTTTGCAGAAGTTTCCGTAGCCTGACGTCCTTGATCAACCAAATCTAAACTATTCGGTTTCACCAAAATAACATTTCCAGTCAACAGAGGCATATTCTGTACCTCTAGGCACAATACCTACGATTCGACATGTTGAATGTGTCCTTCACAATCAAGAAGGAGGGAGAGAGAGAGAGATGTCTATAGAGGGTATTCATTACCATTTGATGTGTGGGAACAATAAAGACATCCAAGGTTATAGGGCAAGTCTTGAGCGACTAAACTGAAAGAGAATACACAGGAGGCTGTGTGTGTGTGTGTGTATGTGTGTGTGTGTGTGTGTGTGTGTGTGTGTTTGTGAGCAACTAAACTGGCAGAGAAAGCAGTAGACAGCTGACTATATTGTTAGTCTGTTTTTATTGGTGTTGTTGTGAGATCTGATTGGCTACGCTGAACACATCTTCAGACCCCAAACTGGCAACCTGCCACCCACTGTAACTATGAAAAAGCATTCCTTAGCTACCACGACAACACACCATGGAGACGCACTCTCATAACCGCAGCTAAGCATGCACACACACACACACACACACACACAAACACACACACACACACACACACATGCTGGTCAGCTTGAACTAAGGCTGGGTGCAGGAATAAGCCTTTTAACCAGATAGGTCTTTGGAATGAGGTGGATGGGTGCTTTAGCTCGCCCGCTGAACCGGGTGGGTCGAGTTTGAACCTTAGGGCGTCATGGTCTCAACATAAATGTACAGACGCTGCATAGTGCATACCCGACCACTGGTGACCTAGGCCAGGATTCAGTCCAATCGGGCTTTGTCTGCAATGCAGCTTTTAAAGGCAATGTTCCCTCATTCGCGAAGACCGCATTCACGAGAAACGCTGCATAGTATGTCGGCTCAGTCGGAAATTACCTTTAAAAGGCGCATAGCAGACAAAGTGCGATCGGATTAAAGGTTGCTCAAAGGCTGTAAGCCTTCTTGGGTAAATCAGCTGAGAGATGGGGCTGATAGGCTGATGCTGATCGAGCTGGGCTGATAGGCTGATGCTGATCGAGCTGGGCTGATAGGCTGATGCTGATCGAGCTGGGCTTGTTTCTGGCCGTCAGGCTGATACACTCACACACACCGGTCGATGCTATATGTAACTGGGTGTTTGAGTCAGGCTGTGGGTCGGCTGGTGGACTGATTTAAAGGAAAGTAGAGCAGTCATCAAATCGACCAATCAGCGATGACCCCAGAGAAGATAATCAGATACAGCAAACTCCCTCTCAGATACACTGATTTAAACACACACACTCAACTACAAAACACACACTCGGTTCTAAAGCTTTCAGTTCATAAGCTTTCAGTTCAAAAACCCTTAGGTTCTTGACTCACACCGTCCTCATGCCCTTGTTCAGGGTTCCAGGCACAAAGTCCCTGCTGGACCGTGTGTGTGTGTGTGTGTGTGTGTGTGTGTGTGTGTGTGTGGTGTCAGGCTGATGCTATACCACCCAGGCATGACCAACGCGGATGAACAGACGGCATCATCTGTGGGCTCCTCTCTCTCCCTCCCTATCAATCTCTCCCTCTCTCTACTCTCTCTGTCTCACACACACACACCCACACACCCTTGTGGAGCTGAGTACCACATTATCATGTTCCTGATGCAGTGTTCATCACATCACCCCATTAGCAACGTATTTAGCACCGTGCTGTGAGTGAGAGCCTGTGTGACTATGTGCTGACTCATTAACAGTGCCAAACATCTCACTGCAGGAGAGTGGAGGAGAGGAAGGACAAGTGTGTGTGTGTGTGTGTGTGGAGGGGGGGAGAGAGAGAGAGAGAGAGAGAGAGAGAGAGAGAGAGAGAGAGAGAGAGAGAGAGAGAGAGAGAGAGAGAGAGATGTCTATAGAGGGTATTCATTACCATTTGATGTGTGGGAACAATAAAGACATCCAAGGTTATAGGGCAAGTCTTGAGCGACTAAACTGAAAGAGAATACACAGGAGGCTGTGTGTGTGTGTGTGTGTGTGTATGTGTGTGTGTGTGTATGTATGTGTGTGTGTGTGTGTGAGCGACTAATCTGTTAGTCTGTTTTTATTGATGTTGTTGTGAGATCTGATTGGCTACGCTGAACACATCTTCAGACCCCAAACTGGCAACATGGCATCCACTGTAACTATGAAAAAACATTCCTTAGCTACCACGACAACACACCATGGAGACGCTCTCATAATCGCAGCTAATCACGCACGCACATACACACACACACACACACTCACTATGAAAAAACATTCCTTAGCTACCACGACAACACACCATGGAGACGCTCTCTCATAACCGCAGCTATGCACGCACGCACACACACATACACACACGCACAAATGGTTGAGTTGGGAGGCAGTGGGTTGAGTTTGCACTTTAGGACCCCTGGTGACCTAGGCTGGGATTCAGTCCGATCGCGCTTTGTCTGCGGCTTTTAAAGGCAATGTTACTGCGTTCGCGGAGACTGCGTTCATGGTAAACGCTGCATAGTATGTTGGCTCAATCAGAAATTACCTTTAAAAGGCGCATAGCTGACAAAGTGAGATCGGATTGAATCCCGCCCTAAAATGAACGCACCAAATTCAGTGTTTCTCTAAGGCTGGAAGCCTGATTGGGTGAATCAACAGAGAGCTGGGAGCTAATAGGTTGATGCTGATCGAGCTGGGCGCTGATAGGCTGATGCTGATCGAGCTGATAGGCTGATGCTGATTGAGCTGGGAGCTGATAAGCTGAGTTGTGTGTTGGCTTGTGTCTGGCCGTCAGGCCCTCCAGAGAGAACGCACAGCTGACCTAATGATTTCCTCTGTGAGCTGATAACACACAAACACGCACACACCGGTCGATGCTATCTGTAACTGGGTGTTTGAGTCAGGCTATGGGTCGGTTACAGGGTTTCCCAAACTCGGTCCTGGCCCCCAGGTGCACGTTTAGGTTTTTGCCCTAGCACTACACAGCTGATTCAAATAACCAACTCATCATCAAGCTTTGATTATTTGATACAGCTGTGTAGTGTTAGGGCAAAAACCAAAACGTGCACCCAGGAGGGGCCCCAGGACCGAGTTTAGGAAAACTTTGGTTGGTGGGCTGATTTAAATTCCCAGCTGGACTGTGTGTGAGGTCAGAGGCAGGTGCTATACCACCCAGGCATGACCAATGCAGATGAACAGACAGCATCATCTGTGGGTCTCTCTCTCTCTCTCTCTCTCTCTCTCTCTCTCTCTCTCTCTCTCTCTCTGCCCCCCAGTTTTTCTCTATACAGTGTTGTGTAACTATGTATCTCAAGGGCAACACATAAGTTATTAATAAGCATTATTAGCAAATGACTAATAAGCACTTTCATCATAATTTGTGTTGGCCTACTGCATCCCACTGCCTCCCAACTCAACCATTTCTAACAGAGAAGATTCAGTAAAACCCTGCTCATGGGAGGAGTAACCTTGTCTGAGACCTGAAGACTTGTGTTAGCTCCCCAAGCTGATGCCTAGGTTGTAGTTCAGCATGGGTAACACATTTATGAGGTGAACAGACGACCTGGGTTCAAATCCAGTCGGTTACACTGCAGGACACATACATTAGGCCCTGTTGGAGTACTTTAAAATCCTTCCCTCCATCCTCGCTGCCGTCCTGACATTTCATTCTTAAAGATGCACTATGCAGAAATCGCTCCGCCATTTCCTGTTGCAAAAATTCTAACAGTTTGCCTAATTTTAGTTTATGTGACAAAACAAGCAAGTACAGTGTAGAGAATCATTGTACCATTTAAAACGTTGTAAAACATATTTTCCATAACCAAAAATATTGTACTTTCAGCTGTTTGAAGCTGGTTTACAAAACCAAAAGTAAAAGACACAGAAACTAAACTTAAGAACAGGAAGCATATAGATCTATTTCTATGCAAATTTGGTCTGGTCGCACAGAAAGTTACATATTGCAGCTTTAATGTTTATTAACATTCTCCATGTTTACATGCAATCCCCATGGAAACCCTCAGGTACTTGCTAAAAGCATTCTTCCTCCTTTTCACCTTCTCCTCTCTTCCTTGCCTCCATTCCATCTCTCCATTCACAATGAATGTGGCCAGTGAAGAGAAACCTCTATCTGTTCTTTTATTCATGTTTTCCTGCTCAGCTTTAGGCTGGAAGAAGCCCATGTACTGTACATGTGAGCCCTGTGTACATGTGTGTGTGTTAAGAGCAGTGAAAACAGTGCATGGCTTTCTGTCCCTAGAGAGAAGCTGTCTGTTACTTCTGACAATGCCCCTTCACTACTCTCCCTCCTTCTCCCCCCACACCTCCCCCATCACTCTCTCCCTCCTTCTGCCCCCACACCTCCCCCATCTCTCTCTCTCTCCTTCTGCCCCCACACCTCCCCCATCACTCTCTCTCCCTCCTTCTCCCCCCACACCTCCCCCATCACTCTCTCTCTCCTTCTGCACCCACACCTCCCCCATAACTCTCTCTCTCTCCCCTTCTGCCCCCACACCTCCCACATCACTCTCTCTCCCTCCTTCTGCCCCTACACCTCCCCCATCACTCTCTCTCCCTCCTTCTCCCCCCACACCTCCCCCATCACTCTCTCTCTCCTTCTGCACCCACACCTCCCCCATAACTCTCTCTCTCTCCCCTTCTGCCCCCACACCTCCCACATAACTCTCTCTCTCCTTCTGCCCCCACAGCCTCCCACATTCACTCTCTCTCCCTCCTTCTTCCCCCACACCTCCCCCATCACTCTCTCTATCCTTCTGCCCCCACACCTCCCCCATAACTCTCTCTCTCCTCTCCTTCTGCCCCCACACCCTCCCACATCACTCTCTCCCCTCCCTCCCTTCTTCCCCCCACCCCTCCCCCATCCACTCTCTCTATCCTTCTGCCCCACACTCCCCCATACTCTCTCCCTCTCCTTCTGCCCCCACACCCTCCCCCATCACTCTCTCTCTCCTTCTGCCCCCCACACCTCCCCATCACTCTCTCTCTCTCCTTCTGCCCCCCACACCTCCACCATCACTCTCTCCCTCCTTCTGCCCCCCCACACCTCCCCCATCACTCTCCCTCTCCCTTCTGCCCCCAACACCTCCCCCATCACTCTCTCTCCCTCCTTCAGCCCCACACCTCCCCATCACTCTATCCTCCTCCTTCTCCCCCCACACCTCCCCTATCACTCTCTCCCTCCTTCTGCCCCCCACACCTCCCCATCACTCTCTCTCTCCTCCTTCTCCCCCACACCTCCCCATCACTCTCTCTCCCGTCCTTCTCCCCCCACACCTCCCCATCACTACTCACCCTCCTTCTGCCCCACACCTCCCCCATCACTCTCTCACCCCTCTCTTCTGCCCCCAACATCTCCCCCATCACTCTCTCTCTTCTTCTGCCCCCACACCTCCCCCATCACTCTCTCTCTCTCCTTCTGCCCCAACCTCCCCATCACTCTCTCTCCTCCTTCTGCCCCCACACCTCCCCCATCACTCTCTCTCCCTCCTTCTGCCCCACACCTCCCCATCACTCTCTCCCCTCCTTCTCCCCCACACCTCCCCCATCACTCTCTCAAACCTCCCCCATCACTCTCTCACCCTCCTTCTGCCCCCACATCTCCCCCATCACTCTCTCTCTCCTTCTGCCCCACACACCTCCCCATCACTCTCTCTCTCTCTTCCTTCTGCCCCCACACCTCCCCATCACTCTCTCCCTCCTTCTCCCCCCACACCTCCCCCATCACTCTCTCTCTCTCCTTCTGCCCCCACACCTCCCCCATCACTCTCTCTCTCTCTCCTTCTGCCCCCACACCTCCGTATTCCTCTCGATCTCCTCCTTTAATTCCTTCTCTCCCTCAATCTCAAACCTTTACTCTACTGGTATCTGGAGGCAGGCAGGAGTGTGAGTTGAGTTTACACACATAAAAACACACAGAGGGACCTTAACTAAACCAGTGTATAATGGAGCCAATTAGCAGACCTCAGTGAATCATAACCATTTCTTTCAATATCACCATGGTCATTTATGGCTCATCATTCACTCCTCCGCTCTCTCACTTCTCTTCTCTCTCTTTCACTATATGGTTTGTATGGCAGTATGTGTCTGATGATGACCCTATCATTCACTCCTCTGCTACCCTCCTCCTCTTCATTCTCTCCTATACCATCACTACAGCCATACATTCCTCATCACTTCATCATTCTCTCCTATACCATCACTACAGCCATACATTCCTCATCACTTCATCATTCTCTCCTATACCATCACTACAGCCATACATTCCTCATCACTTCATCATTTTCTCCTCTACTTTCCCACTTCTGCTGCAATCCAACTACTTCACCATCACTAGTTCTGATACCAAGAATGATGACAGCATCCAAACCATCTCTGGTCATATCAGTTATGCTCCTAATAGGTTATGTCATCAATATGAGTCAACCTAATGGGTGATGTCATCAACGTTAGTCAGTCTTCTTCCCGTCAGTTCGATCCATCTGGGAGCTCAGGTTTCAGAGATAGGAGAGAAGAGACTGTTTGTGTGTGTGATCTATGGTCACCTCCAAAATGATTGCCACCCTTGATAAAGATGAGCAAAGAAGACTGTATAAAATAAATAATATAAATACTGAGCTATATTGTATACTTAAAACATTGGAAAATTACATTATTTTATACTGATACAATTACTCAGAGATTATTATTTTTTTTAACAAGTAATAAATAAAAATCTTTAAAAAAGGTAGATGTAAAAATTATTGGCACCCGTTTTCAATACTTTATGCACCCTCCCCTTGCGAGGATAACAGCACTTAGCCTTTTTCTATAATGTTTTATGAGATTGGAGAACACATTGGGAGGGACCTTAGACCATTCCTCCATACAGAATCTTTCCAGATCCTTGATATCCTTCGGTCTGCGCTCATGGACTGCCCTCTTCAATTCAAACCACAGGTTTTCAGTTGGGTTCAACTAAGTCCGGAGACTGAGATGGCCATTGCAGAATGTTGATTTTGTGGTCAATTAACAATTTATTTGTAGATTTTATGTGTGCTTGGGGTAATTGTCTTGCTGGAAGATCCACTTGCGGTCAAGCTTCAGCCTCCTGGCAGAGTCAACAAGGTTTTTAGCTAAAATGTCCTGGTACTTGGTAGAGTTCATTATGTCATTGACCTTAACAAGGGCCCCACGACCAGTGGAAGCAAAACAGCCCCATAACATCACAGATCCACCACCATAGGTATGAGGTTATTTTCTGCATATGCATCCTTCTTTCGAAGCCAAACCCACCACTGGTGTGTGTGGCCAAAGAGCTCTATTGGTTGTTGGTTGTTCTCAATAAAGTATTTTTTCATGGCAACCCTTCCAAATAGCCTATTGGCATGGATGTGGCGTCTAATTGTAGATTTGTAGACTTGGTGACCCCAAGATGCAACCAAGTTCTGTAATTATCCAACTGTGGCCCTTGGACTTTACTTTGCTTCCAAACCATCTTCCTCACTGTGCGTGGGGACAAGATACACATGCATCCTCTACCGGGCAAGTTTACCCCTGTTCCAATGGTTTTAAACTTCTTAATTGTGGTAAGTGGTATATTTGGTATTTCAGTCGTTTTTTTGTACCCATTGCCTGACTTACGAAAGTCAACAACCATTTGTCTCTTTTCATGCATGGGTTCTTTGCCTTTCCCCATGGTGATGGACGCAACTAGCTCTCACAGTCTCACATCAAAATTAGACGTTCATCCACGTTTCTCAAAAGTCAAATATAATTTTGAAGTGTTTAAGGTTAACTTTAGGCCTTATCTCTGAAATGTTAAGGTTAGGGTTAAGTTTAGGCATTAACTCTGAAATCTTAAGGTAAGGCATGAACTCAGAATGGTTAAGGTAAGGGTTAAGGTTTGGGATAGGCTGAAAAACTACTTTCTATCACTGGATTCGAACTTGCAACCCTTGGAATTAGAGGCAGATGCCCCTCCATCATTCCCATCCACAACACCCTAGCAAAACCGAAACCTACTTGAAGGTAACAGTGCTCATTGTTGCCCCTAGTGGCTGGTTTCTACGTCATCTCCCCACATCCTCAGACATGGATGGTCGTCAAATACTGACTTGTACCATGGGTGACCTGGCTGGATGGATGACAAAGTGATTCTGCACACGTTACCACATTTTTATACCCCAGTAAAACAGGAAGCCATGGAATGCCACAATACAGTTCCGTAAACTTAGATTAATTAAAAAAAGTAGAATGTTAATGCAGATTTAATTTTGTTTGATTTAATTTATAAGAATCTTTAGGGGTGCCAATAATTTGGACACTTATCTTTTTGAGAATTTTATTTTGTACTTATTTTTTGAGCATACAATATAGCTGTGTGTGTGTGTGTGTATGTACGTGTGTGATGAACCTTACAGCAGGCATAACTGTGAGAATACAATACGTCAATGATCAATAACATCTTGTTTGTATAGACCCTTTAACAAATGCCTTAGTCACAAAGTGCCTAACAGCTACCAGGACCTACTCCCCCACAGAGCATGGAGAGGCAACAGTGGCCATCTCTCCCTCTCCTCTCCTCTCTCCCCCTCCTCTCCTCTCTCCCTCTCCTCTCTTCTCTCCCCCTCCTCTCCTCTCTCCCTCTCCTCTCTTCTCTCCCTCTCCCTCTCCCTCTCCCTCTCCTCCACTCAGTCGTTTCGTCTCGTCTCATCTTGTCTCTCCTCTCTTCCTCTCTTCCATACTCACAGGCACACTTTCTAAAACTCCCAACAGCTATGTTCCAATCAGACCTTCTGTGTTCCAAAGGCCAGATGAGTTGATAGCTGAAAACTGGAGCGCAGCAACAAAGAGCCAGCGGGATAATTCCAGAAGGATGGATTGATTTAACTGTCTTACAGTCATGATGGGCTTTTCAACCAAACCATTTTTGAGATGTTGGATGTCGAGAAGTAGAACAATCCCACAATAACAGTCATATCCATACACAGATTAGATGGAATCTGAGTTCTATAGAAACATTTCAGTTTAGATTTTTTCAGAGAGTTAGTGTAGTTGCCACATTGTTCTTTGACACTGTGGAACATTGCTACATTCACACTCTGGGAGCTGTTCTCTTTTCCATAGCCCAGCGAAGGGACGCGTTTGAGAAGTGAACAAGACAAAATTATGTTTATTTAACATAATGTTAGACAGACGTAGCTATTGGCGTCGCTCTGAGTATTGCTACTACCTTCTCTTATCATCACACACGCGAACAAACACACACACACACACACACAGTCTCTGGAACGGGACCAGGCAGGCTCTTCAATGGGACTCTGTAATGAAGGGTAGACAGACGATGGGACCGTTCAGATGATGGTGATGAGGGATGAAGCAAAGAGAAGATTAAATATTAGCTGTATAAAACACTTGGCTGGAAACTATCCTGATCATGCCAATCAACTGGAACCACAAACTCAGCTCACAGCCATCAGCCTTATAGTGACAGTTAGTATTGAACTGGGCCCAGCTAGAATGGGCTTACTGCACCTTATACTGTGCACAAATGTGCTTCTAACCACTGACCCCTAACTTTAACGGCTAAAATAGCTTAGGGTAGGTTTTGCCCATTCTGGTCCTTTTAAACATCTAGACAAGCCATAGCATCAAATCAAAACAAATGCTTACTTACAAGCCCTTAACCAACAATGCAGTTTTAAGAAAATAGAGTTAAGAAATTATTTAGTAAATAAACTAAAGTTACTGGTTTTAAACCCATGCCATGGAGAGGAGAGTGTGGTTGTGAGTGTGA